GCGCCCTCGGGAGGAAACTCTAGCGCCGCCCGCGTCGTCCCCTTCGCCTCAACCCCCTCCCTTGTCGGCGCCTCAGGCGTCGCTGGCCAAAGGACGTGTGGCGTTGGCAGCGGCGGGCCGCTCTCTCCCGCACGCACTTGGGAACTCCGCGGGGCGTTCCCATCTGCCTGGCGGTGCCGGGCGTCGGGCCGGCCCTGCCTCGGCTCCTTCTCCCCCTCCCGGCGTCCCTCGCTGGTGCCGCCTCCTCCCCTGCGTGGTGGTTGGTTTTGGGGGATGGATCTGGGATCCCTGCCTAGATCCGGTGAATGGTGGGGTTGGTGTTGGCAGCGGTGGCCGACGGCCCAGGCATGAAGGCGGCGTGTCTCGCAGCCTCTGGGCATCGTGGTGATGCCGGCAGCGTCGAGTGCTTAGCCTGGTGGTGGCGGCGTCCGTGCACGGGAGTTGGATTCCTTCGAACAGATCTGGGTGAAAACATGCTTTCGGCTATTGCCAAGGCCGGCGGTGGTAGCGCTATCGGCATTGTTCCCTTCTTGAAGGCATCTCCATGGAGAAGTTCAAAGCCGCTCTCTGCTACCTCCAGGGGAAACCCTAGATCGGATGATCAGATGACGGCGACGCTCTAGTGTCGTTCCCCCCTTTGGGGTGTCATTCTTGGAGGTGCACACGTGATCGAGGTACCAGAGGACAGATTCTTTGGTGGAGCGGTGCTTCATCTCACTCATTGATGGTGGCGGATCTCGGCGGCATGGCGTTGTGGTGACTCGGCGTTCAATACGCGGAGACGGACTCACGCAGGAGGGTGACGCGGTCTGGCGCCATGGTGGCGTCAACAGCAGCTAGACCGGGCAAGGTAGATGCAGCAGTACAGTTCGGAAGATGGATTGATGGCAGGTGACTGCGGCGGCCTCATACCCAGCAGACGTCCTGGTTGAGGAGTGCGCCGGACCGATGGGTGCCCCATACCCGGCAGGCGTCCTAAATGGGACCTCGGGTCTTAGATGGTAGGTTTGGCTGCGAGGTCTGTTTGGTACTAGGCTCAGACTATCAGCATCCCTTTATCAATTGGATAGGAGTAGCGATAGATGTTACCTAGACGGTGGCTTTAGTCTTACTGTTGTATTACTTTGTAACGTGTTGTGTGAAGAATTAATAAAATGGCTGCATACATCGTCCAGATGCAGATGCCGGGGGTCTTCCTCCATTTCTAATAAAAAAATTGGTATATTATGAAACTACGTTTCAAAATAGATCTACTGATACTAATTTAGTGTCATTAATGCTCCTGCCTTTTTATATAAAGTTGGTCAAAACTTTATGACTTTGACTTAGAACAATAGCTAGATGTACACTTACTCGCAGATAGAGGAAGTAGCTTTTTCGACGCATCAATTTTTTTGCGCACACCTACACAAATGTTATCTCATCACAAACTTATACACGCAGTTGACTTGTAAACCTGCTCCCCCATCTATCCGCAGGCAGGGGTGGGTCTAGCCTGCGGACACGGATGCAGGAACCGACCAATCAAAACTATCCACATACAATTCAATCTGGGCTGCAACAGGCCGGACAAAATTTAATCAAACTGGATGAAATTCATTCAGGTTCGGTCATAATTTACATAAACAACCGATATTTTAGCCGAAAATCATTCAAGTCCCATCTGGTCAGATTGCTCGACATCGATGTCGGCCAGTGCATGCTCTAGGCTGACATGAATGCGGCGCGGGATGCGCCACGTGTGTTAGATGAAAAGTGTGGTAGAGACAGGAGGTATTTTTGGGTGGGCCACGGTTGTTAGACGCAGGCGTGGCAGTGGTCCGGACCCCGCAAAGCCCCCTCCACTTTGTCTCGGGTTGTGCAGAAAAAAGTGTTCGAACCGATTGACGGACCGATGCAGACCCGCATTGGATGGTAAAACACATTCGAACCGCGTGGCCCAAACGGTTGTGGATGGTTTGAAGGTCAGTGTTGGAGATGTCCTTGCACTTGTGTAAGCTCCTAGAAGACTAGCAGCCATGTCTAGGTAATGCCACAACAGATTCCCGCCAGATTGAAAACATTCAAACAAACCAATTGCTGCAACTGCAACTGCACACAAGCAAATCAAAGTGCCAAGCTAAACACGCAGTCTGCACAAACGGAAATCACAAGCAAAACTCCATGGACAACATCTCGCTTCTCCTAATTAATCAAGCATGATTGACTGCATCTATCCCTGCTCAGGTAGCTCGATCGATTGATCCATCACGAGATGGAGTTCCTCCACCTCCTCTGCGCCTTCCTGGCCGCCTCGCCCTGCGCCGCCGCGTGCCCGTGCCCGCCGGCCCCCGCCGCCTCGGCGCCCGTCATCTTGGCCAGCCTCCCCAGCTTCTTCCACCCGTTGCTCCACGCCGATGGCCCCTGCTGCTGCTGCGCCTTGCCGCCGCCTCCGCCGACCTTGCCGCCGTGCTCGCCCGCCGGCGACTGCGTCACCTGCTTCTGCAGCGCGTCCATGTCGTGCTGCAGCTCCAGGTACTTGGCCTTCATGCTCTCCAGCTCGAACTTGAGCGTGTTGATGTCCTTCTTGGCCGCCGCCCATCCCTCCTGGAACGACTGCGGCGTGGCGTCCAGCAGCTGCCGCCGCGTCGGCGCCGAGGTCGTCCCCCCGTCCGGCGCTGCCTTGAGAGCCGACGACCCCGCCAGCGCGTTGCTGATCTTCACCTGCTCCGAGAAGAGCACCTGCACCACCACCCGCAGCGGCAGCCGCTCGTTCTGCGCCGCGTGCATGCACGCGTCGAACGACAGCTTCTGGCAGTCCATCACCCGGCACAGCCGCTTCCGCTCGTGCTCCGTCAGCGCCGGGTGCGCCTTCAGGTACGAGTCCACGGCGCGGTACAGCCCATCGTCGCAGGTGCGCGCCGACTCCGGGAGCGACTCGGCCAGCACCTGGAACTTGGTCAGGGAGAGGTTGCGGTCGCGGGACACCTCGGAGAGGTAGCTGTCCAGCAGCCGGGCCACGCGCGCCTTGGCATTTAGCCCCAGCCCCGACGACGATGACGCAGCCGCCGCCGCCGCCGCGTTGGCCGGAGGCATCCTTGCGCCCGCGGCGGATCCGTAGTACTCTCTCTCCGGCTGCGCGTGCGCCTCCCCGCGCCCCGGGCTGTACGACACCTGCTCCGTCTGCTCCTGCACCAGGAAGTGCTCGACGAGCCGCTGCACGAGGTCGACGTCGTAGGCGGTGTCGGCGCGGCCGACGGAGGGGATGAGGAGGTCGGGCAGCGCCGCCTGCTCGAGCTGCATGCCGACCCGCTTCTCCAGCTCCGTGACGAGTGCCGGGGCGGCCTTGAGCATGATGGCGAGGCGGAGCAGGCGGAGGAGGAAGCCGCAGGAGACGCTGTCCCGCTGCGGCGGGATGATGCTGATGAGGCTCTCCACCACCATGCGCTGCTCGCGCGCCGGCGCGCTGGTGGCGACGTCGTCCTTGCCACCCGGGCCGGCGATGATCATGTGGAGCCCGCCGGCCGCGGAGACCTGAGCCCACTGCTCGTCGACGCCGCTGACGGCGTGGGGGACGTCCTTGGTGAGCCCCGGCAGCCATTTCGACGCGTAGTGGGTGATCGCCGCGCCGATGAGGTCGAACCGCATGCCTGTCCGCCGGCGGGCATAAAATAGTTTAGAAAAGATAAATTTGTTCCTAGGTAGTAAAAAAAACTGAATCAAATCTAATAAATTTGTTACCTTTGACCTTGATGGCGGTGACTACGCGCACGAAGTGGTCGATCCGGAGAACGGACACGTCCTCGAACCACCAGTCGGACGGCGGCACGGGCTGCCGGCCGGGGCTGGACTCCTTGGAGCCGCCGCCGCCGCCGCCGGCGTTGTTCCAGCGGGGGCTCGCCGCGCCGCTCCGGGGCGGCCTGCCGCTGCCGGCGCCGGTGTAGGCCCAGCGGACGCCCCTGGGGTTGGCGCAGGCCTTCCAGGCGATGGACTCGCTGCAGCGGCGCACGATCTGCAGGTTCTCGGCCCAGGGCGAGAGGCCCTCGCAGCTCTTGAGCACCACGATGGAGTCGCGCCAGGAGGAGAGCACCACGTAGCTGAGGAACGCCTCCGTCTTGAAGATGAGGTTGCCCTCCTCCAGGTCCTCCGTCATCTCCAGGTACTCGGCGGCGCAGCGCAGCCCGGAGATGTTGGACGCCGTCAGGTCCACCGCCATGCCGTAGCAGAACCTGGCGGCCAGCTCGAACGAGTCCGCGCCGCCGGGGAGGTCGTCCAGCTCCGCCACGGCCGTGTCCGGGTCCAGCGCCGCCGCCGAGGCCGAGGCCGCGCTCGTCGCCGACTCGTAGATGACGCGGCCCATCTTGCCGCTCCGCGAGATCATGGGGTACTGCTCCGCAAGTACAACGCCGTGTGATTAATCAACAAATTATACATCGATTGTACTGTTGAACTGAATCAACTTGTGTGTAAATTACAAGGACGCGCGCCAAAAATTGTTGACTTGCTGCAGCGCAAGAGCAGATTTGAGAAACTAAAAGGCTTCTATTTGTGGCACTGCGTGAGCACAAGTAGAATGTCTAATGATTGAGCTGCTGGCCGGGTACACTTGTAGTTGTAGTCTGTTGGAATAAAGGAAAGGAGAGCTGTACCTTGTGAAGATGGAAGCTCACGTCTCCCACTTTGACAAGCAAATCGCTGGGAATATCGCTGTTGACATACCTGCTCAAATTGCAGGGGAGAAAGAACAAGAAGACGATGAGGTGAAGTGCACACAAGGAAACCTCCATAACTGGTGCCACAACCACATACCAAGAGTGATCTCTGCGAACGAAGCCGTCGGTCTTGAGCCCGTCGTGCCGTTCGGAGCCGCCGACTCCGAGGACGGGGACGAGCCCCCGCTCGCCGGCGTCGCTCTCCGACTCCCACATGCTTCCCCGGCCTCCTCTCCTCTACGCGGGGCTTCTCTTCTGCGGAGCATGCAAGACCAAGGATATATCATATAGCCATGAAATACACATACATACGCGCACGTTTAAAATCGCCCCCCAAAAAAAGTCCAGAACGTGTAAGTATGCATGCATCTCTGCAAATATGTCATGGAAGTTGCTGACATACGTACAGCTAGCTGGAAATTCTCCTGCTTGATCTGGTCTTGCAGCTGCGACCGGATTGAAGAAGAAGAAGAAGAAGAAGGAGGAGGAGGAGGAGGGGCTGTGCTAGCTGATGAGCGTGAGTGGGATGATGTGTGAAGCTGTGAAGGTAGGCAGCAAGGGAGTGATAGGGGAAGAACATCGAAGATTGGTCCCGATGGATGGGGTTTATGGGGTGAGATCGAGAGACCACATGGAGTGTTTGTTTGCTATGCATGCCCAGGGACCTGGCTATTTTAGCTAGCCTTCTTAGCTGCGCATGTGTCGCCCAGTCGGCCTCTCACGCTCTCCTTCCACCATCGTCTCGCTGCAAAAGCCTTTCAAGCTCACTGTAACCTTGGTGTAGTACGTACTACAGTAGTAGTAATTAACTGATTAATGGGGTGTACCATCTCCCTCCTCATGTGCAGGAGTGTGTCTTAATTTGGCCCTGTTTGAGCACGGGCGCCGCTCCACAAGCGTCCCTTTAGCTGTCGGCAGCAGCGCCAATCATCCGCTTTCTCACCGTTCAATCCAAAGCAGTCGACGGTTCAGATTGCCCTGAAACAGGCGAACACATATTCATCCGGCAGTGCTGGTGATTGATTGATGTCAACTGTTGGTTTTCTGATGACTGAATTTTCATGATGCAGCGCATCTATCTGCCTGGTAAAAGAGAAGGACGAACCTACGAGCGATTGCAATGTGGCATCCTTCCTTTTCATGGGGAAATCGTGTGCCCCCTTGGGCGCCACATGTGCCATACCGGTCGGCATCGTCAACAAGAGACGACGACGTAGCTCATCGCGCGGCCGCTCGTGCGCCCATATGTACGTCCATGCCACACTGTCACATGACTATGGCGAAATTGTTTCTTCTCCTCCGCTTCAGAGAAGGCCGGGATTACACAGCAGCAACCATCCCTTTCTTTTCTGGCCCTGGTCCATGGTCTTAAATTATACACTTTCAAGGGACAGTCTTTTATTTTCTTGGGCACTCCAAGGACACAGTCAGAACCAGACCCTGTGAGTGTTTCCGACGTGTCTTTTTTGAACACCTATTTATTTATGCATGCCGACATGCTTCTCGCTATCTTACTTATATTTCAGTCACTTGCATGCGATTGATGGAGATGAAGAGAGAGAGAAAAGAGAAAGAATACAAAAAAAAGGTGGTTCGGGATGGGCTACGTCGTACGTGGCGGACTGACCGGGCGCGTCCGCGAGCTCTCTATGCTCCCTACATCTGGTCTCCATATCATGGTTTGCAGACAGCCTGAACGTATAAGGATGATACGAGCGGTCCAGTTAGGTCAGTTTTTTCCCTTTTCTCTCCTATCAGGTCACTGGCCGGGCGTGTCCATGAAAATTTGAGGAGGATTTGAGGAGGCCGACTATAGATGCTCTAATCCGGCAATCCTACAAAGTAATAAAAGACCGAAGAGACTAGGTGAGTCTATGGCTAAGAGTATGTACAATTGAAAACCCCATTTTCGGACAGGGAGGAGGCATAGGAGACATTAGGTATGGAGGTTGAGCCCGGCGGATTTGCATGGAGGACGCAGAGGCGGAGTTAACACACCCAAGCCGTGGAGGCGGCGGCGCAGTTGAGGCGGAGCAAGTGGTCATCCTCGACTCGATCCAATCTAAGCGGGAGGTGGCATCAAATTGTCATCGCCCAGCTCGCTGGCATAAGGTGGGAGCGGCTCTTCATAGACATTGACAACAAGGAAGAGAAGCCAGAACTTCGCCATGCCGCCAATGACCACGAGACCGGTCCGTCCAGCAAGGGGTCATCTACATCTTCGATGACTACGACTAGAATTAGGGCAGTTTGCTTGTTTGTTTCATGTAATATATTGTATGTATGATAAAAACATGGGATATGGTTAGAGTGGCGGACAAATGATGGGAGGGCCAACTCTGGCTGCGTACGTGTTCACACACTCCCGTGGATGTTTAGGGGATCAGATTTGCTCAGTCCAATTGTAAATGCTCTAAGATGATGGTGGAGTAATCCGAAGACTATGCCACTGCTATGTTAAGTAAAAACCCTTCCTCAATTTACATCTAGGATCAATCTTCTATTTGGACTACCTTCCTCCCACTACTATGACCCAATGGGCATTATACTCAAGTGCGTACACTGTCTATTGTCTATAAGATCACATATAATTTAAACCAATATTTTAAATAGCGCGCTACAAAATAGCGAGACCCTTCTCCAAATGCTACACAAGTTATAGCGCGCTAATAGCGTGCTATATTTCAAAATAGCGTTTGCAAAAAAAATTAAATATATCTAGAAATAAAGTATTTAAGCAACTAAATTTTTTATAGGAGCAAGCAATATATGCATCTGATAAAAGGAGTGAGAAAGCTAGTGGGAGAATCTGATAAAAGGAGTGAGAAAGCTAGTGGTCGTGGGTTGGTTTTGGCCTACTGGGCTGTGCTTATTTCAGTTTTGCAGGGTCTGCACGTTGTTACAATGTTATAGCGTGTGTAGCGCGCTAATTACGCGATTAGCGCCGCAGCGTCCGATTTTACCAAAACGTAACGTCTCCCTTTCAAATATGCTATAACCGCGTTATAACGGCGAAATAGCGTGCTATTTAAAATATTGATTTAAACTCGCCTATATTTCGGCATGTGACTTATTGCTCTCTTTGGCATAAATACTAGTCAAAGAAAAATAATCGTTCTCAAGGGACTCAATGGATGTTGTAGCTATGTTGCGCACTGCATTGCTCTTTTTAGTATCTGATGAGGATACAGACCTGGGGTAGGGTCATAGGCCTGACCTATACGTCCTACCCAAGGTCCCTACCCTAGAAAATAAAAAGTCCAAAAGACAACAAGAAACCCCCAGTCAAAGATGTCGAGTGCAATCCACTCGACAATCATGTCACTCGGGAATCCTCCTACCTATTGTCACTCGACCACCCAAGGAACCACTCGGTCAACCAAAGACCCAGAGTCACTCAGCATTGTAACGGGCAGGCGTTCCTCTGTAGTATTTAAGGTCATCAATAGCATTAAGGCTAGCGTTACCTGTAACGCCCCTACTTTATGTACATTAAGCCCCTTGTAATGGAGGATGACGGGGGCCCTGGCGCACTCTATATAAGCCACCCCCTCCTCTGGGACAAGGGTTCGCACCCCCTGTAATATCACACACATAATCCAATCGACCACCTCAGGGCACTGAGAGGTAGGGCTGTTACTTCCTCCGAGAAGGGCCTGAACTCGTAAACTTCGTGTGTACACCTTCACCATAGCTGAGATCTTGCCTCTCCATACCTACCCCCCTTTCTACTATTAGTCTTAGAACCACGACAGTTGGCGCACACCATGGGGCAGGTGTCTTAGCGACTTATTGGTGAAGTTGCAAAAAATTTCCGATCATCATCATGGTTTCCGGCGGAGGATTGGCTGAGGGCCACGAGATCCGTCTCGGCGCGCTCGTTTTCATCGCCGACGACTCCACTTGGTTTCAGGAAGCTCCCCTTGACGTCGAGGCGCTCCCCATCCGAGGGGCAACGCACTTTCGCGCGTGCGTTCGCGGTGTCCTTCTCCGGTAACCATCGACTCGGTATCAGTCGGCTCCGATGGTGTTTTCCCTCCCTGTTGTTCGCTGCCGCAAGCGATCCGGTCGGTCGCAGCTTCAGCAGTGGGTGAAACACGCGGTGGCTCAACGTTCGGCCACCCATCAAGTCACGGCGATCGAGCCCGACGAGACTCTCCACGACCTGTTCGATCTATCGACTGGCTCCATGGAGACCACATCCGACTGCGATAGCAGCGACCCTGCGGCTGAAGTCTTGATGGTCGACGGACCACACAGTCCACCTGGTTTCCGCCGTAAAGACGGCGGAAACGGGGGCGGCGATCCGTCGCGCGTCCACGAGGAGTACCATCCCGAACCCCTCTCTTCACAGCAGAGGGAAGAACTTCGTCGCCGCAACATGGATGCACTCCACACGCCCATCGTTGGAGAAACCCCCGAGGCCCGGGCCTTGGAAGAGGTGCGCCTGGCTAATTTAGCTGAGCACACTCGACTGGAGAACCTTCAGCATGCTCTCGACGAGCATGCTCGGGAGCGGATCTTTGAATCCAGTCGACGACAGCTTTTTCCGCCTCCACCTAAGGTATACCGCACTCTGTCGTGGAATTGTCACGTCAGATGTCCTCGTGAAAGGACTTAGTTGTGGAGCCATCGCAACTAGGAAGCTTGAAGGGGTTAATCGGGACAAAGGACACGAGAGGGTTTATACTAGTTCGGCCCCTTACGGTGAAGGTAAGGCCTACGTCTAGTTGGGTTGGTATTGATGTTTCGATGACCAGGGAGCGAGATACGCTATGCCTGGCTGTCGATGAGTTGTTTCTTGCCCTAAGCCGCCAGCGGGTCGTCCCCTTATATACACGGGTCGATGCCCTGTGGCTTACAGAGTCCCGGCCGGCTTATAAACAATGTCCGGCTCGGTGACTAGTTAAGTCTACCTTATGATACAAGTAATATTATTACAGCAGTTTACTACAACCGGCCTTAAGTCGCATGTGAGCCTTAAGCTTCCTATGAACCGTCATCTTCATGCCTTGTATTGGGCTTATCTCTGGTGAGTCCTCTTTGCGTAACCCGGCCCCTCCTGGGCGGCTTACACAAATAGTTATGTCCCCAACATTAGGCCCCAGATTGATTTGAACCGGTTCATGTCAATCTTAAAATACCTTATGAACCGCCATGTAGTCTTTTATCTCGCGCGAAGGATTTTAACCCGCCGTGACGTCATCATCTAACTC